ACTAAATACTGCTTTCTGAAGACTAGATACTGCCGACAGGTCTAAATACAGCATCTGGAACACTAAATACTGCTTTCTAAAGACTAAAATTGCTTTGTGGAGACTAAATACTGATTTCTGAAGACTAAATACTGCTGACAGGTCTAAATACTGCAAAAGAAAGATAAGATATTGTTGGAGAAAACATTAAAAAGACGCCGGCGCCCCCTTTTAGGCGACGTCCGGACAAGATTGAACTTGTCTGTATTATTTCGACGTGTTTGCAAGTATGTCAGTTACGAAATTAACGGTAACTACTTAGAGACGAAGAAATTATAGTGAACCTAACTCATGGTTACCGAATTATTGCATTTTATCTGTGTTTACCTCAATTTCGGAATTGGTAATCTGTAAAACATGTAAAAAAACAAATCAGCTTTGATAAATCCAGTATTCGTGGATTAGGATTGAAAATATCGATGGAATATCAATGGTGTTCAATATATATTATACTTTCTTTTCCTATGATTGAAAACAAATCGTACGAAGTACTTAAATAGAAGGTTAGTGTTAGTCATGAGATTATTAGGAGTTGCCACAGAGGAGTTAAATTTATTTTGTGGCCTCATGGATTTAGTTCGACATTATATTATGCTGTTTTAGAAAATATTTACATAGGATCAAAAGCATGTATTGAAGAAAAAGGCAGTGGAGGAGGAGACAAACAGAAATTACTGTGTACGGTGATGGAACGTATTTGGAATGGCAACTCTCATCGGAAAGTATAGTGGAAAAGTGATCGATCTTATAGTAAAATCGTCAAAATCAAAATCTGGGACTGAGGAATATAATACTTGGATGGATGAACATGAAGAGAATTGTTGGGCAAATCATGAAGGTAAGATGGAGGTGGATGCTATAAAAGAGATGTTTCAAAGATCTTGGGAGTGGTATGAAGTGAGGTATACAAATTATATTGGCGATGGCGACACAACAACTTTTAAAACCTTGTTGGCTATGAATCCTTACGGCGATAAGTTTACATTAAAATAGTGCATGGGCGCACGACTAAAAAACGTGAAAAAACATAAAAACTTGGTGGAAAGAATAAGTTGACAGACAGATTAATAAAAGAACTAACGATTTAGTATGGGTTAGTTATAAGGAGACATCCAAATTCTGTTGAAGATATATATAATGCTGTATGGGCAACCTACTACCATAAATTATTGTCAAACGAAAATCCGCAGCATATGTACTGCCCAACCGAACCAGAGAGTTGGTGTAAATGGCGTAAAGCCGAAGCCAAGAGAAAAAAGACAATATATGAAGACTTGTCATCAAGAGAATTGTTAGAAAGATGTTTGGGTGATGAAACTCAAAATAATAATGAAAGGTTCAATTCTACTGTTTGGCGATTAGTCCTCAAACATCTAGCTACTTTAAAAGTAATGAGAATAATGGGAATTGAAATTGGTGAGCAAACTTTTTATTTATGCCAACTCTCGGGATAAAAAACGTTTGGAAATTTTTCAAAACGGCTTGTTGCATTAAAAAGATGATACCTTAATAAATAATTGGTGATATTTCCACAAGGATCCTTCACGGAATTAATTTCATAACGAATTTTCAAAGTTATCGATGAAAATTGAACATCGAAAATTTGATCAAAACTTCAAATATTGTTTTTTCAAAAACTAAAAGTTATTTTTCAAAACGTGTTGGTTCATTGGAAAGAGGACACTTTTATTAACACTTTGGGAAATTTTCATACTCATATTCCAAGAAATCGATTTTATACGAATTTTTAAAACTTAATCGGCGAAAATTACAAAATTCGAATATGATTCAATAAATGTTATTATTATTATTAAGTTATTACTTGGAGCCCAACGTTGGCATGAACCTAAGTTACTTGGGTTCGTGTTTTAAGTTGTTACTTAGAGCCCAAGTAACAACATGAACAATATTTAAGGCGGCCGACGTTTTCGAAATCGGCCAAAAATATTTCACTTGATATAAGATATAATCTCGGCCGCCCCAAGTATCACAAATAATAGTTATGGCAGCCGACTTCGAAGACATGAACCCAAGTAACTTAAGTTCATGTCAACGTTGGGCTCCAAGTAATAACTTGGGACATGAACACAAGTTACTTTGGTTCCACTAATTATTACTTGGAGCCTAAGTAATAATTTGGAACATGAACCCAAGTAACTTAGGTTCATGCCAACGTTGGGATCCAAGTAATAACTTGGAGCATGAACCCAAGTTACTTTGGTTCCCCTAGTTATTTAAGACATTAATTTAAAAATATCGAAAATTTTATCAAAACTTCAAATATTGTTTTCTCAAAAACTAAAAGTTATTTTTCAAAACGTGTTTCTATGAGCAAGAAGAAGGAATAGTGTACGGCCCTGGTATAGCAGATTCGGCGTTTTTCTCGAAACATACTTTCTACAACTAGTTGACATGATTTCTAGATAACTACTCAATTGAAATTTTAACTATGCATTCAAAAACCATCTTTGTATCATTTAACCTACAGAGAAATTGATACCTTATATACATCATGTTTTTTTTTGCAATAAACTTAACGATTTTAAGAGCAAAATTTAACTAGGCGCCATTTTGTCAATAATTTTTTCTGTTTCAAATAATCTCAAGGGTAGATATCGCGATAACGTTGTGTTGAAGGACATAGCAGGCGTTATTTTTATAAACAAATGTGTTTTTAAATAAATAATATGTTTTAAACTTAAGCAAAAGATTAAATTGGAAGAGCACATAGTTTGGTAGCCAAAAATTCCGAAAAATATCACTTTATTTAATAGAAAAAAAAAGATTCCCCCCCTTAAGTGAATAACAAATAAATTAATAACTTACTCATCAAAAATAGCAAATGTAGTTGAAACCGGTGTGTTATTAATACTTAGAGGTTTCATTTCATCAGTATTAACTAATTTATTATCAATTGCTGGGTTATAATCAACGCTTGGAAGTTTAACAGTTTTTAAAGCAGTCAATAATGCGATTAAACAAGCGTCTATAACAGCTCCATCATGATCGATACAAATCATATCAGCATATAAACACCACGCCAATTTTTCTTTGCATATACATAAACTTTTTAAGCTTATACACCCAGAATTTTCAATCACATCAGCTATTGCTTTTGTAGTTACTTGTGCTTGATCACTCGGAGGACCGGGTTTATAATTGGGCGAACATAACGGGGGTAATTCAACGTTGGGAATTAAAAACCCTTGGTCGGGATTTTCAGCTTTCGGTTGACATAATTCCGCTTTTATCCCACAAACGACGGTTGTTCTCCCCACTTTCGCTATTGCCGAACCATCCGCAGTCGAAATTGAACTAGCATTTATTATAACCGGTCGGAATTTATTAAATTCCCTTCCATCCGGCCGAACACCATGTGCCACATAATCTCTATGATATTTCAATGGATGTAAATATCTAAAAAATGATTAATTAATTAATGTTTAATAAAGGAAGAGGTAAATTGTGGATTACTTGTATTGTTTTGCCATTTTAATTTACTTGAATTTGACGTTTTTAAAAAAATAACATGTTTTCATACCTTTTGATGTTGACATAACCTAAAACGCCAATTTAAAAAAAATAAAGGTACTAAATTTGGGAAACGTTTAAGTTTTAAAATCCAAATTAACATAGAAATAAATAATTAACAATTAGAAACAAAAAATGAATGTAATAGTAAAGTAATTAATTTAAATTAAAATTATTTTAAAAAATTTTATTTAATTTTAGTGACATTTAATCTTTTCCATTACCAACCTCACGAGCGCAAGGTAGTCTTCGTCTTTATCAACTATTTTTTTTTTGACATATTTCGTCTTAATAAACCAATAATTTTCCTCAATAAGCATAATAAACGTGTTAAAAAGTACAAAATAAATAATTTTGATTTGTTCCGAACAAAATAGATCAAAACTTCTTTTGTTTTAGCGAATGGAAAAGTTTTGGGGACCACTTTGAAAATTAACCTGCAATTTTAATAAAATAATTTAACTCATTTTGAGTTTCAAGGTTGGTAGTAACGACAGAAATTCCCTGATCAAAAAAGGTTATGTTTTAATGTTAACATTTATTTATTACAGTTTAATTATTACAGATTTATGATCAAAAAAGATGATTTTCAAAAACCTTTCAATGCTTACAACGCTGGTAGTAGTATTAAAAAGTGCCGCAACTTTAACCCCCTTTGGTTACATTTATGGAAATTAGAATAACACAGGAATTTATTAATTAAAGCTTGATCGGTTTCAATCCCGAGCAATTATCTACATAATATTATTTATGTAGATTTAAGAAATAAATCTTTAACAACTAATTTTATTTCATTTGACGTTTGAAGCCCGCCATCTATCGAGAAATATCACAAATGTGTTAGTCAAATTTTTATGGAAAATATGGAAAAAGCGTTAGTGATATGGATAAAAGACCAACTTCAAAATCATCAATGCTGTTACAAATAAAGCTTTGAAAATTTACCAATTACTTTAGAATCAATTGCCGTCGATTTCATCCGTTGAAAAGAAGATTTCTTTTTCCGCAAGCCATTGGTGGTTTGAAAGATTTAAACAAAGACTCAACAAGAAATCATTGCCGCTAACCCCTACACCTCTGGTCAGGTTTTCAATGCTGACGAACCTTCATAGACAAAGCTCACAAATCTGCTAGTGGTCATAAAGTTGTATAACCACACTCAAAGTAATTTTATTTGATACTTATAATGTCGTTAAATGATCTTATGTATCATTATAGTATGTACAGTGTGTTAATTAATTATAAAAAAAATATTTTTAGATCAATTAAAATGTACAAGAATTTAGGGTTAAATAACAATTAAAACTAGAACTAACACTAGACCTAGAACAAGTCAATGTCAACTTTAATTTTATTATTCTAAAATAATCTTCATAAAATAACCTTTAAAGTGAGTCCAAACTTGACGCATTTATCTCAAAAAACCAAAAAGTTAGAACTTTCAACTTTNATTAGAATAACACAGGAATTTATTAATTAAAGCTTGATCGGTTTCAATCCCGAGCAATTATCTACATAATATTATTTATGTAGATTTAAGAAATAAATCTTTAACAACTAATTTTATTTCATTTGACGTTTAAAGCCCGCCATCTATCGAGAAATATCACAAATGTGTTAGTCAAATCTTTATGGAAAATATGGAAAAAGCGTTAGTGATATGGATAGAAGACCAAATTTAAAATCATCAATGCTGTTACAAATAAAGCTTTGAAAATTTATCAATCACTTTAGAATCAATTGCCGTCGATTTCATCCGTTGAAAAGAAGATTTCTTTTTCCGCAAGCCATTGGTGGTTTGAAAGATTTAAACAAAGACTCATCAAGAAATCATTGCCGCTAACTCCTACACTTCTGGTTAGGTTTTCAATGCTGACGAGCCTTCATAGACAAAGCTCACAAATCTGTTAGTGGTCAGAAAGTTGTATAACCACGCTCAAAGTAATTTTATTTGATACTTATATGGTCGTTAAATGATACATAAGAGTATGTACAGTGTGTTAATTAATTATAAAAAAAAATATTTTTAGATCAATTAAAATGTACAAGAATTTAGGGTTAAATAACAATTAAAACTAGAACTAACACTAGACCTAGAACTAGAAACAGTCGTGAAAAAATCTTTCAGTTGTCAATGTCAACTTTAATTTTATTATTCAAACTCGATATATTTAACTTTAATATTAATGAAAATACAATCACTTCCGATTTGAAACGTCAACGTCAATTTTGACATATTTGTCATCTTTATTAAAAAACCTTTAAAATGAGTCCAAAGATGACGCACTTATCTCAAAAAACAAGAAAGTTAGAATAAAAAACGTTAAACCCGAAGTTAGCAACAATG